TTATCTTTTCTTTCCTGCACTCTCAGCTACGTATATAAAAAATGGCTTTGCATTTCACTCAGCATTCCCAGGAATTCTGTAGTTTGAGTATTTTCTCATTTTTTAGTCTTTCATATTGTTAGGAACAGCAATTATTTTCTATTTAATATGTGTGCTTACCCTGTTCTTAAGTGCTCCCTATATTGAATGATAACAGAGAACTGTTTATTAAGACTTTACTAAAACATATAACTGAAAGGTGTTTTGGTGGTGTATGTGTCAAGAAGTGAAGGACTGCATATTACCTAGGCTTTGCTCTATGTTCATAGAGACTAATTACAAAATTAGTAGCAACAATCCCCTCAGAGAAGTCTTCCTGTTTTAAAATCCAGGAACAGATAAAATAGCCTATAGCAGTCATATGAATCCAGTGATAAAAGAAAATAAAAACATAATTATCCATAGATAAATTTAGATAACTAAAGAAATCTAGCAAATCTTAAAAAAGCTTGGTTATACCAAACATTTCCTAATTATGTTGGGTATGACTTTTAATTAAAAGGAGACCTTTTAAAAATCTTCGCCTATTATTATTAATTAAAATCTGCCTTTATCACTTTAAACATTCAGAAAGATTGTTTTCCTATTGAAATACCAGTAGAATATAGAGAAAAACATTGAAATGTCACAAAAAGCTGTAATGTAACCTCCTGTCAAGAATTCACGTGTCCATGAAAACATGGTTACCCTGAAACAATACCTATCCCAAGATATTAAACTTCAATAAGCATTTCTTTCGCACAACTTAAAATGTATTGAATACAGAATGTTATGATATTTCAAGAGAAAGCAAAATAATAATAGGCAATACAAATTTGGATAACAATGAATTTAGTACTGTATAAAAACTTTTTAAAACAATGTGGTAGTCACAATTTCTCAATAAACATTTAAATCTTTTTGCTATCAAATCCTCAATAAACTATAACTTCTACCAAAAACACAGACCATAACCAACATTGCTAGCTGGCTTTCTAAAAAGTATTAATAATATCCCTCCTATTTTGTTCACTGCCTTTCTTCACCTTTACAGGTGACATTTTTCAAACTATAAAATGCATTCTGCTGGCAAACCTTCTTGCTTCAATAGTTCTCAATTTTGTAATCCTAAATCTACATCCTGTGCTACTGAGATTGTCCACTATCTTTGGTATGTGACTTTGAATGAGGCAGAGAACAAGCTATACATTAAAAAAATCAATATCAAACCTTATCAATATTCATTTTACTTTGTCAATACAGAATACAAAGGTGAAAGAGCAGTAAATAAGCTAAGGCACTGAAATAAATTTGGTGTTCCTGTCACAATTAATAAATGTTCAACTGATAACACTGCTGGCTGCCGGTCTAGAGCCTTCCAAAGTGAGTGAAATTATGCTTCAATGCTATTGCTAAAAGAGGGTGAGAAAAATTTTCGGTACACTAGCATGTAAATATAATCAGATTTTGGGTTATTAATTTCATAGGGGACTTTAAATCTTTTATTATTTATTATGAATACAATAAGTAACCATTCATCTTTAGAGTCATAAATTGTTCTACAAACCTAGTTTGGGATTATAAAGTGCCTATAGTTTTCTGACAATTTTTTGGTCAATCCTTTCTAAACTTGCTGTTTGATTGCATATTTCACATATAAATCAGAGGAGATTATGAAATAATACTGAAGCTTTCAGCCTATTTCAAATGAGAAGAGAGAGTTATCTTCTCCTGCATTTTTTCTGCTTAGATTTAATTGTTGACTAAAGACAAAAGGAACTGTGGAAATATACCTCAATTCAATGTGTATTTGGGGAGGTCTGCAAGGGCTTATAAAATGGCAAGAATATTCTCTTTAAAATAATTCTACGTGCTAGCTCAAGTTCAGAAGTTTACAAACATAACTGACTTTTTCTTATGTGACTGAGTATAGTCCAGAGCTTGATAATTGTAATTTTCAGAGACAAGATGATCTGGGATTCATAACCTCATTATTAAAGTGTATTTATGCAAAAGCATTTCTTACTTGAATTCAGATAATAATCTTCACCTTAGAGTTGATTCACTAGTATTAGAAGATATTCTATTTAAAACTGAGGACTTTTAAATAACCTCAATCTCTTTCTCTTTGAGAAGAACAGTTATGCATAGATTTTAAAAATGCATTGAAAATGAGTAACATAATTCTCCTACTCTACTACTTTTTGAGTAATTTTAAAGAAATGCATTGTATTTCTACAAATTTTATCTTTCAAGTAAAAATCTAGTAATAGAATCAAAATCTCAAATCTTAAGGGAATCACAACAATTTTGAAATATAACAACATCTGGAATATGCTGGTGTAAGCTTACGGGGGAAAAAAAAACCCAACTGTTTTAGGCTGAAGTTTGATGTTTGTGCCCATACTCCGTATACATGACTTCCTCTGAGGTTACTGAGCTGTAACGTTGAAACCACCTTGTAGAAATATTTGTGTGACTCTCTCCTTGACCATTATGCATTTATTTCCCTTCTCACTTCACATATGGCCAGAGTTTTAGAACCTGACCCCGGTATTCTCTTCTCCTTACTGTTGCCACTAAAGCAGAGTTCTTAAGTTTGTTCTTGTACTATTTCTGCCATTAATGTTAGATCACTGAAAGATGGGAGAATTCAGGGGACCATTCCACTGGAATGGGGATGTTAAAGAATCCTATGCCTGCCTTATAAAAGATTTGAACTGAAGAACTTATGACATGTATTTGATCTAAAATCTGGCTAGATGTTCCTGTATGAAGAGATATATAAGACGTATTTCATGATTGTTCTGTATTTTTACATAATAGTAGCTAGATAAATCTTCTATAAAATTTAATGTATATAATAGTGGGTTCAAGTCAACATATGCAAAAGGACAGTCTTTACATATCTATTCTCACAAAGAGCCTGTAAGTAAGTTGTTATGGAAAGAGCTTGGGTTTAGGAACCACACAGGTGTAGATTTAAAACCTCCCTTGCCACTAAATCATTACATCATTTTAGGCAGCTAAGCTAATATTTCTCTGCATCTTCATTTTATGATCTGTAAAGTGATGATAACACCTACCTCATACAGTTGTTGTAAAAATAAAATAGATTCTGGTACATAGTATGTACTCAATAAGTGGTAAATATTATTCTACATAAATGCGAATACACTCTACACTCAGATGTTCCCTAATTCTAAATTTTTAAAATTCAATGCAGCTAGAAGATGAAGATTAGGTATTATAACTAAATGTATACTTGTATAATGTAGTCCCTTATATGGAACAACTGCATTAGCAGTGCTCCAATTTTAAGGTATTCTTCAATTTCGTAGTGCTGAACTGTGGACTAGGTTCCCTAAATAGTGAACACAAGCTTCACATCTTTTATTTCCTTTGAACTCACCATGCAAAAAAAAAAAAAAAAAAAAAAAAACTCACCAAAAACCAAAAACCTATCTATCTATTCACAAATCTATATTTTTTGCTTCTCACTGCTTACTCTCTTCTTGATAATCTTACTTTCATATTCTAAAATTAAAATCAGTTTTTCTATAAAAGGTTGCCTAAATGAAGTTAAGAGGAAGTTTATAAATCTGATAGGTAAGGGTCCCAGGCAACATGCCAAGGCTATTACTCTTTGCAACTGATCAAGTGTCTACACTGCAAACATTTTCTCACAGAGTGTGCTGGCTTGCAAGTCCATTATGGTTAAAAGTTACTGAGTCATATGTGCGTGTCTACATTTTAATGCCCAGTTGACTTCCTTCTATCAGTGACTTTTCTCTGTGCCTCCCTTACCACTGCTCTGGCATGAGACTTTGCAATACACACTAATCTTACTCACATCATTCATTACCAAGCTTGAAGCTTCCTGTCCCCTCTGATCTACAGCATGTGTATTTTTCCCTATACCACACTCATTATTAGAATGGCATGTTATTAGAATGATATGATTTTTGAAGTAGAAACGAGATGTTTTTTATTATAGTGCTAAGAAAAGGTGAATCTAAGATTGCTGCAGTGTTTGGACTAGAAACCAGACTGCCACATTCATAAGCCAGATTTTCATCTACTACAACAGGCTGCTGCTATACTTTTACAATTTATTACTATATCATGCACTGCATAATGACCTTATGTTCAACTATGGACTGCAAATATGACAGTGGTCCCATAAGATTACACTACTGCATTTTAACTGTACATTTTCTATGTTTAGGTATGTTTAGATACACAAAAACTTACCATTGTGTTACAATTGTCAACAGTACAGTAACATGCTGTATGGGTTTATAGCCCAGGAGCCATGGGCTATATACCATCTACGTTTGTGTCAGTATATTCTATAATGTTTGCATGACAACAAAATTGCCTAATGACACATTTCTCAGAATATATTTCTGATCTTAAGTGACACATGACTGTATTAATCTCTTCTGGGGTTGTCATTTAACCTTTCTATTCCTTATTTTCCCAACCAGTCTCTAAATTTCATGAGGCCAAATACTCCACACAAAGTCTTGCATTTGGGCAGGTGTGCAGCAAATATTTTATTGACTTGCTACCTGGAAAATCTACACAAGGAACATGCAATACATCCCAACACCAAATGCAAATGATTTGTTTTAATAGTTTCTTGCAATGGTGCTTCTTCTTCAGTGCAAGTGATTAAGGATTATCTATATTTTATTCTTGATGATTTATAAACTCCAACTCCAACCCCTCTTTTGTTTTACCTGCTGTTGTAGGTCCAGGCAAAGGTGCAGCTTTTCTTCTCCGTTTGATATCTCCCGTGCATAAGGATC